CCGCCGCCGCCCGCCTCCTCCAGCCCGGAGCCTACCACACTCGCTCAGCAGGACGATGACCCAGATTACTTCAAAGGCGTTATACAAGACGTCCAGGTAGGATATTGCCGATTTATTAAATTAGCGCGAATTCGCAGAAGCAGGCGTTGGTGTTGAATGCGTGCGTGTGCGCAGGTGTCCAACGGCGAGAGCGTGTGGGTGGTGGAGTTCTTCCCGCTGGTGGCGGAGGGACTGCAGCTGCCGCCCGCCTTCGGCGAGGTGTCGTTCTCCGGCAGCGGCGTGATGCGCGGCGTGGTGTCAGACGACGCGTGCGCCTCGCGCCCCTGTCTGCACAACGCCTCCTGCTCCCTCACCTGGAACGATTACACGTGAGTTCCCCCATACACCTCCCCCCACCCTGACTCCCCCACCTCCCCCTTCCCCACCGCTCTAACTTGTCACGTTGCGCCATCAGGTGCGCGTGTCCGCGAGGCTACAAGGGTAAGCAGTGCGCGGAGGTGGAGTTCTGTCAGCTGCAGGGCTGCCCGCTCAATTCGCACTGCCGCAACCTCGATGGCGGGTAAGTGGTCGGTTTAAGGCGCGAATATTGGAGCGTACATTTTTTTTGTTCAGTCGTTCTATTGTTATTGTGTGTGCTTGTTGTGCGGCGCAGGTACGAGTGCGTGTCCAACGCGACCTTCGACGGTGTCAACACGACGCTGAGCTACCGGCTGCGCGTGCCGCCCGCCTTCCCCGAGCGCGCCGCCGAGCGCCCCGCGCCGCCGACCTCCCTCACCATCACCTACAGGTACGCCGCCCCCCCCCCGCACCCCCACACCCCCACACCCCGCCAGCAGGGCGCGGCCGGCACCTTGTACCTTTGTGTGTTGACAGGAGCAAGACGGGCGGCACGTTGTTCCACGCCGAGCTGGGGGAGTCGCGGTTCAGCGTGGGCGCGTTCAAGGAGCAGGTGGCGGTGCAGTGGCGGCTGGGCGGCGGGCTGCCGGCGCTGCGCCGCATGCGCGCGCGCCGCAACCACCTGCAGTGGGGCACGCTGCGCCTGCGCCTCGCCGACGGACACATTACCGGTACGCGCCGACTCTCACCGCCCACCTTCTATCGGTGCTACCGGCCGCCGCTTCTGAACCGTTCCCGTGCGCAGGTGCCTTCCTCGAGGCCGAGGGGGAGGAGGAGGTCGGCTTCTCGGCGCCGATAGACGTGGCGGCGTGGCAGCGGCTCATGCTGGAGGGCGAGCTGCAGCTGGGCGGGGTGCGCCGCCCTCGCGCCGCACCTCCCGCCGCCCTCGCCTCGCCCACCACGCTCACCTCCACCACTGCTCTAGTGAGTGCCTTCTGACTTCATAACATTCTTTATATATGTTGAGAAAATTTAAATTAAATGTTATCCGTTATTGGCATGCTTTCCATAATAACTTACCGACACATTGCACTGCGCAGGCTGAGAGCGGCACCGAGGCCGTGTGGGAGTACGCGGAGGGTGACGACCTCATCGTGGACAACCTCGTCGGCGAGTACTTCAAAGTGAGCTTCATTGCTTTTATTTAAACACTTTTTAATGAGAAGTGTTACTCGATTATATGTACTAAAATGTGTGTGATGCGTGTGCGCAGGGCTGCCTGGGCGCGGTGCACGTGGGCGAGCTGCTGCTGCCCTTCTTCAGCGAGGAGGAGCTGTTCGTGGGCGCGGCCGCCTCGCTCCTGGCGCGCCAGCCGTACTACGCCCTACTGTGAGTGCCTCCCCCGACACTCTCAAACAAGTTTCAGATCTGGTGACGCAACTGGGCACAATTTGCGAAACAAAATGTATATTTTCGTGGAGTCGTGTGTAGAGAGAGCGGTGATGTGATGTGATGTGATGTGATGTGATGTGATGGTTGGCGGCAGGTCGGGGCGCGCGTGGGGCGCGGCGCAGGGCGTGGGCTGCGTGCTGTGCCTGGAGCAGGACTGCCAGCGCGGCGGACACTGCGCGGACGTGCGCACCTCGTACGCCTGCGCCTGCCCGCCCGGGTACGCCGGCGACTACTGCGAGGTGCTATATACTACGTCTTTACATTTCATTGTCACATCATTACATTCTTATTTAAATACGAATATATATAATGGTGGTAATAAGGGTCGGAAGGATCGACTGAGTGTAATGATGCGATCGTTTCGTTGCGACAGATCGACGTGGACGAGTGCGAGGCGAACCAGTGCCAGAACGGAGCGACGTGCAAGGACGGCGTGGCCGCCTACACCTGCCTCTGCCCCGAGGGCTTCGAGGGCGAACTGTGAGCATGATGCACCTTCCGCCGCCTCGTGTCTTGTGCCTAGTGCCTTGTGCCTTGTGCCGCTCCTCGGCCGGCCGTCTGACGCCGCGTTGTCGTGCAGGTGCTCGGTGGACGTGGACGAGTGCGCCTCCTCGCCGTGCGAGAACGGCGGCACGTGTCGCGACCTGCCCGGCGCCTTCGCGTGCGAGTGCGGCGCGGAGTGGCGCGGCGCGCGCTGTCAGACCCCCCGCGAGCGCGGCTGCGCGCACGCCCCCTGCGCCCCCGCGCGCGCCGCCTGCCGCGACCTGCCGCCCGGTGAGCACGCCGCCCTCGCCCCGCCCTCGCCCCGCCCTCGCCCCGCCCTCGCCCTCGCCCCGCCCTCGCATCTGCCGCCCACGACTTACACCCCCCACCCCGTGTCCGCAGATCCGCCGACGGGTAACAACTACACCTGCGACTGCTTCGAGGGCTACCAGGGCGTGCACTGCGAGCTGGCCTTCTGCGAGGCGGAGCCCTGCCGACACGGACGCTGCCTCGTCGACGCTAATGTAACACTTGCTGCAATAGTTCCGCACCGAGCTGCTTCCTCCTTGTATTCCTCGTGCCACTGAATGTGTACATGTGTGTGTGTGTGTGTCGCGCAGCCGCCGTACTGCGAGTGCGAGGAGGGGTACAGCGGCCGGGTGTGCGAGGCGGCGCGCGACGAGTGCGGGGCGGGGGGCGTGGCTGGGGGCGGGGCCTGCCTGCACAACGGCCGCTGCCTGGACCGCCGCGGACACTTTCTCTGCGACTGCACCGGCACCGGTATGTAATCAATTATATCGTTTAATGAATAAATAAACATTTTGTTTCGTCCCTCGACTAAAACATAGGAAAGAATGTACACAAGTTTAGTGGGATGGTGCTCTGGTAACAAACTGTATCTGTGGGAAAAGTATAAATAGGTTGTGAGACGTAGACGTGATGTCGAGGACGTCAATAGCGTATCGCGCGATAAGGCGGCGGCGATATCGCGCGATATCAATCTGCTGATAGCGCGATATCGCGGCCGCTGCCGGCGCTGCTCAAACTTTATTACATTTTATATAAAAAATGTGCAACAAATGTATGTTGTTTATATTTGATGACTATTGAAGTGTTCAACATTTTCCGTCTGAGATGAGAGATGCGTCACTCTGTTATTCCGAGTGCGTCTTACTTTTTGTGGTTATAATGGTGTCGCTCCGCACCCAAGTGTTACCCTGCCTGCTCCGTCACTCGCGCAATTACAATGAATGACCGATAACTGGTGAGATGACGCACTCCTTACAGCTGAGTGTTGTGTAGCGACCACGCGGCCACGCGGCCACACACTATCGTGTAATCGCCTCATTATAAATTTATCCTATTGTGCGCGACACGAGGGCGGGGTGCGGGGTGCGGGGGGGGGGG